TTCTTCAAAGCATTGTTAAAGCAGAAAAGGCCCACCTTTTGGTGCCCACAGTACGAGTTACATCTTGTTACTCAGCAGCTGCAACAGGGATGACAACCAGCTCTCATTCACTGAGCACCTACTATGTGCCAAGCGCAGTGCTATGTGCTTTACATATATTTTCTTATTTGATCTTCAATGGTCCTTGCTTGGTCTTTTAGAACTGTTTTAAAGGCAAGGTCACTGGGCCTCACAAGCATGAAGATGCTGAGCAAGGTCACAGAGCTGATTACTTCACCCGGAGACTGCAAAATCAAATGTCAGTGGGACCAGGGTGGCAGAACACAAGAGAGCACAGGTCCCCCCATCTGGTGGCTGCCTTCCTTCCCCCCTCCTGTGGCTCCACCCAGAGCAGCAGAGGGGCTAGAGCAGCTCACAATTTGCAATGGTGGCAACCAATTCAATTAAGAAGATTAACCAAAGACCCTATCTGTTAGAAGTATTTATAGATGCAATAATATGATGTCTTCCATTGGCTTTAATACACTCTGGAGGGCCATATTTTAAAAAGAGAAAAGGGGGGATACAATGAGACTTAGCAAAAGGGTAGTAACTATTAAAGCTGAAGACTGGGTATATAGAGATTCATGTTGTTTTCTCTAAAAAAAATCTAATTTACTTTATCTAGTCTATCGTCTCTTCCCCTCCCCCTTTCTATCCTTCTTTCCTCCTTCCTTCCCTCCCTCCCTCCGTCCCTTCCCTCCTTCCCAGCTGCCAGCTTGCAACCTCTGCCCCACCACTCTCTTCTCCAGTGAAAACAAAACTGGTTTTAAGCACAGTTTGCTTTCTTCTGGAGGCGTGATTACAGGTTGATGGTGTCTTTGATGCTCCTCGTCAGAAGTCACCCCACCAGAGCTCACCTGCCATACCTGGCTTAGAGGCCTGCTGCTGGTGAGCTGACATGTGAGATGGCTTCTGATGGCTCTTCTACTGTGGTTTCTTACCAAAGTGTGACAAATTTAGTAAACACACTCTAAATCACCTCTTCCTGCTGTGCACGTCAGACCATATCCCCTTAAATAAAAGCTGACCAACCCCAAACATTTCTTTCTGAGTCAGCTTCCTTTTATTTTTTGTTAGGGAGACGAAACACAAAGCTCTTAAGAAGTGTGCCCAGCCTGGCTGGTGTGGCTCAGTGGTTGAGCATCGACCCATGCACCAAGAGGTAACTGGTTCGATTCCCGGTCAGGGAACGTGCCCAGGTTGTGGGCCTGATCCCCAGTTGGGGGCATGCAGGAGGTGGCCAATCGATGTTCTCTCTCATCGATGTTTCTATCTCTCCCCCTCTCATTTCCTCTCTCTCTAAAATCAATAAAAAAAAATTTTTTTTTAAATACAATAAATAAATAAAAAAAGTGTGCCCAGCTTCCAGTCATTCAGCAAATACAAATGCCTTCACCTACATCATGATGCTTCCTTCATTTTGTATACGCAAGGACATTTTGTGAAACGTAAAGCATGCTAATTTTTCCCCAATGGAAGGTGAGAAGCTCCAACATTTAAAAACAATCACACACATGGTCAACAACACATGAAGATCTTATTCAAGTACCATGTACTTGTAAAATCCATAATTCCCAATACTTTCTGGATGGTATTCTCTTTAGCAAAGACATAACTTGCAATCAGGCTGGGTAAAGAAAGACAGCCATTACTTTCTTTTTCTTTTTTATTGATTTGTAGAGAGAAAGGAAGGGAGAAGGAGAGAAAGAACATTGACTGGCCGCTTCCTGCATGCCCCTCACTGAGGATTTGTCCCACAACCTGGACATGTGCCCTGACTGGTGACCTCTTGGTGCATGAGTCGATGCTCAACCACTAAGCCACACTGGCCAGGCAGCCATTACTTTCTTAATGGCCAGCTACCCAAAAAGGTTCAGTTACCTGATCTCAACTAGGAATCTAATCAATTAAAATTGATAAGTGAAATACTTTTTTTTTTTTTTAAATCCTCACCCGAGGACATTTTTCCATTTTTTGTTCAGGTAGAGTGGGAGGGAGAGAGACGAACAGAGAGAGAGAGAAACATCGATGTGAAAGGGACACATCGAGTGGCTGCCACCCGCACAACCAACCAGGGTCGGGGACAAACTGCAACCGAGGTACGTGCCCTTAGCGGGAACCGAACCCCGGTCTCTCCGGACCACAGGCCAACGCTCTAACCACTGAGCCAAACCGGCCAGGGCGATAAGTGAAATACTTTTAACCTTTATTTCAGCAGGCCATTTTTGGTGGGAAAGGGAGGAAACACGAGTTACCAGCATAAAATTTAATTCCATTTTCAAATAGAACACAGCAGCCCTCTTTAAAGCAAGCTGTTTCCCTCTCTTTCCTTGAATCAGATCAGAGAAAGACCAGTTTGTAGTTCTTCAGAAAACTAGATGGATCTAAACCCTTATAGAACGCACTGTGGCCATTTCTTTTACTTTTTTTTTTTATCCTCACTCGAGGACATTTTTCCATTTTTTGTTCAGATAGAGTGGGAGGGAGGGAGAGAGAGAGAGAGAAACATCAACGTGAAAGGGACACATCAAGTGGCCGCCTCCCGCACGACCCAACCAGGGCCGGGGACAAACTACAACCAAGGTACGTGCCCTTAGCGGGAACCGAACCTGGGCTTCTCTGGACCGCAGGCCGATGCTCTAACCTCTGAGCCCAACTGGCCAGGGCTGTGGCCATTTCTCAAGAGTGAAAGGGCCAAAGGAGATGGGCGTAGAGCACAGAGGGGACATAGCTTCTTTGTGATTCCAAGAAAAATAAGGAAATAAGAACATAAACAAGAAGAAGCAGAAAAAGAAGCTAGACAACCAGGTAAACTCATAATAATCAGTTACTCTGATCTTTATATGCTTCACCTCATTTAATTTGTGGGTAATACTAACTACAATTTCCTGAGAATAGTTATATGCTAGGCAGGATGCTTGGTCAAGTTATATTTCATATTATATTTCACTCAAATGTCAAAACAACCCTGAATATAAGGAAGGTTGGTCACCCTCATCTCCTAGGTAAGAAAACAGATGCTGTGAGTGTTTCCGCCATTTGCTTGAGGGAATATAGAGCAGGGAGGGGTATCTGGCTTAAAGCCAACACTCAGTGGTCTATAGCACAAAAACTGGTCACACAACTGAATCATTTTGTCAAAACTCATTCATTGTACACTACTCTTGGTAAATTTTATTAGATGTAAATTATACTTCATAAAGTTGATTTAAAACAAGGACCCTCTCCTCACCATACACGACAAAGAATGGCCATTTGCTGTTCCCGCCTACTCAGTTTCCACCTCTTCTTTATGAGTTTCCCTTGAGGGCGCCTTCCTTCTCCACTCTCAGGTGATGGGGCTCAAAAGGAACAGGCCCCCACTTCCAGCTCCAGGCATGTGACCTTAGCCTAGCCAATCAGTAAGTCACATTCCTCTGACTCACTGACTGGTTCAGGGATGGTCATATGACCCAAGCTGGGCCAATGAGAGCACTGCCCTGGACTTCTATAAAAGGGAAAGAGAAGCTCTGCTTCTGTCAGGTCTGCTTAGCTGGTTCCACAGATCTTGGAGCTGCTAATGGCCATTGTCACTACCCGGTGAGAACCCTCCTGAGGATAAAGCCAGAACAGAGGAAAGGAGAGCTGGAAAATGGAGGGTGGTAGTTTCCTGATGACACTGCTTGAGTACCTAGATCCTGCCACACCGGAAGGCAGCTAATCCTGGACTTTCAGTGATACCAGCCAACTCCCCTTTTTCCTTAAGCAAGCCTATGTTGGGTTTTCTGTTTTTTATAACTGAAGAGTCCTAATATACCACAATGTCTTTAAGAAGCAGAAAACTATCTTGTCTGCCCCACAGCAAATGGAGGAGAGAGCTATGTGAACACGAGGAGGGTTATGGGAAAATGACAAGACTTTATACCTGCTCTCTCCTTTAAATCTCAGCCTCATGCTGCATTGTATGGTGAAATAAATAGCACAAGGTTTCAGGCTGAGTACATAGTTCTTTGGCCTCAAAAGCTTTCATCCCTACCTAAATGCTGGTGATTTGCATATTTTATTTTTTCTTTTGTTAATCCTTATCGGAGGATATTTTTCCATTGATTTTTTTAGATAGAGTGGAAAGGAGAAAGGGGGGTAGGGAGGGAGGGAGGGGAGAGAGAGAGAAACATAGATGTGAAAGAAACACATCAATTGGTTGCCTCCCACACGACCCTGACCAGGGCCAGAGATTGAACCTGCAACCCAGGTAGGTGCCCTTGACCGGGAATCAAACCCAAGGCCCTTTGGTCCACATGCCGACATCTAACCACTGAGCCAAACCAGCCAGGGCTGCATTTTTTTTTTTTTTAATTTTCACTCGAGGATACGTTTAGAGAGAAAGAAACATTAACGTGAGAGAGAAACATCTATCAGCTGCCTCCTGTACGTGCCCCAACCAGGGAGCAAATCTGCAACCTACATATGTGCCCAGTCAGGGAATCAAACCCACAGCCTTTTGGTGTATGGGCCGATGCTCCAACCAACTGAGCCATCTTGTCAGGATATAATTTACATTTCTGAAAGCTAGCTTTCTTTCTATTTTTTTTTTTTTTCTTCAAGCAGCAGAACCCTTTAATTGTTGTGATCATACAGAAAACCCTTAATAAACAAAACCAATCAAACTGATGCTGCTATGATTATATGGAAGATGGGGATCCTGGAGCTTGAGCATCCCCAAAGCCCCTGTACAGATCTTTAGCAAACCACCCGCACAGCTCCGCCTGGTCTCCGGAGAGCAGAACCCACAAACCCAGAATCAAGTTGCCCATAATCTGGGTCCCTTTCTGTGAAAGTTTTATGGGACATGCACATTCTGTTATCTCAAGGTGACAGATCCACCCCGTACAAAATGCAGGTCACACACTAACCCTCCCAGTGACATGTGAGTCAGCATGTCGGTGTCCCCCTTGCTGTGACTCAAACAGCCAACTCACTGAGATCTAGGACATCATCAGTTTTGATCAGATCTTCCTCGCGCATCAGTGGTAATTGGGTCTCCGGCTCCCCTCGAAGTTGCAGTGACAGGGAACGAAGCATGAAGAACACCCGGATGGCCTGAATGAAAAGTGCATAGAACAGAGAAGGATGAGACTGCAGTCATTTTGTTGAGATGCTCCACAGGGAAAAATCACCCCATGACACTTCATTAAAAACAAACAAAACAAAGCCTGCCTCTCCCCCTTTCCCATTATCATGGCTCTGGTGCTTTCAGAGCAAGACAAAAACAAAAACAAAACACCCAAAGGGCACAGCCTCTTTTCAGTTATCCACGGGTTCAGACTTGCACCACTTTACCCCAACTGGGCACCTGTCACTTGCCAGGACATTTACCCTAGTGTCATGTGACCCTGATGACACCCAAGGAGGTGACATGATCTGCCCCAGGCACACATCTAGGGAGGGCTAGAACCAGGTCTCTTCCAACTGAACCAGCATGGAATTTGGAAATCTAAATTATGACCTGTTTCAAGGTCCCACCAATTGAACATAGGGGTAGGGGTGGCAGAAGAAAGGGGATGCTTGTGGGGCTCAGAGCCAGCCAGACCCATTAAAACTCTGTTTCTGCCCCTCCCTGAATGAGCCCCGTCACCTTGGAGCCTAGGTCTCCTGGCATTCCTCCGGGTGTGTGTCACTGATGAGGCAGCAGACCTGGCACCAGGCAAGTGTGCAGTGATGCTAGTGCCCTGAGCGCCCCTCAGGCCTCCCCAGCCACTACTCTGGGAGCAGAGGTGGCTCCATTAACACTGGGACTCCTGGCCCGTGGAAGAGATGTCTGGTAGAACCCACTGTGGCCATTAGACATTTTCAGAGAGCAGGAAAAAAAGCAGAATCCCAAGCCCCGGAAGCCAGAGAAGTTTGTGCAGAAAGCAGCCTTCACCCCAGGCCAGCTTGCCCTGGTGGCACCTCCCCTTGAGTCCTAGGTTGGGGCTGACTCGTCCATCAACCAGAGGCCAGGAAGCAGAAGGGCAGTCCACAGGGCAGGCCTCCTCCAGACCACTGTCCCTGACTTTAGCTGATGGACACAGGGAAACCGCTCCGGAGACTGACATGTAAGATCTGCATTGGACTCCCACCTACACCACACTGGGCAAGGCCTCTGACTTCCGTGAGCTTCAGTGTCCTCATCTGTGAAGTGGGGATGGTAGTCCCTACCTCGCCGGGCTGCTAGGAGGTTCTGACATAAAGCTGGGGTAGGGGGTGGGGGATGAAGCAGCCAGCATGTGTTCTGTAAAGGGGCAGCTACCCTTTACTCCAGTCACTCACCAGCTGGGCATGGGAGAAAGAGTGGAGACAAACCACTGTTGCTACTGGTGGGCCACACAAAGGTGAATTCCAGCCCACTTTTGGGTCTTCTTGTTTACAGTTCCGAGGGCTACCGGCCTGGCAGATTGAAAGGAGAGGCTACCCTTTATATGACAAGGTGCCTCCCAAAACAAGGGCTCCTGACAAAGGCAGCAAAGATGCCCTTTGGCAGGCCTAACCCCAGGCCTGCCTGGGCCCAAAACCAGCAGGAGATCTTGGGCTGATCACTTAATCTAATGTAGATAACTAGAAGAACAATCCTACTGCCTGGACCTAATCTGAGGTCATGACTCCCCTCTGCCAACTGTGAGCCCTAGAGAAAGACAAGCTTTTGTATTCTAATGATGATGGTGGTGGCAGTGGTGGTGGCATTAGTACTGATGTGATCTTAGTTTTTTAAAGCAGTCTTCATAAAGACATCTGAAACAATCAGAAGAAGAGGTATACTTTCATTAAAAAAAAAAACAGCTTTTGTTCATTAAGCTTCTATTGTGTGCAGGCAACATGGGTACTTTATTGCAACACAAAGATTTTATGCAGGAAGAAACGGAGCGAAGGGCAGAGAAATCTAAGTTCATGCAGCTACTGAGTGGCTGAGCTGGGAAATCTGACACCGTGTCACTTAACCAAGCACACAGGGAAATTCAAATGCCTGCACCAGCCCAAGTGCAAAGCCCAAGATGTGGGTGGGCACCTGAACTAGGTGGCAGTTTGAGACCCTGGAGATGAGGGAAAAAGAAGGACAAAGACCCATGACAGACAGGTCCGAATTGAGTGGATGCTTCATTTCACTGTCAAAAACCCATTCCTCTCGGGGTTCTGAAGGCAGAGAAATCAAGGAGGACCCTAAACGGGGGATGACGAAAGACAAGTGCATGTAGCTTATAGCCAGCCCAACACTCTGAAAACCGGAACCTTCCACTATTAAAGGAGTTAGAAATTTGGCTCTTAATGTAGACCTTTTTTGGTAAAACATCTGCTTTTGCTCTTCAAGCAACAAATGGAAGAATTTCCAGCAATACAAAATAATAATAAAATAAAATAAAATAAATATAAAGCAGAATATAAAACATATGAGAAGCCACCACCCATGAATGTGAGAAGGGCCGATTCTCACAGGGCCGATGCTCCGCCTGGATGAAAGCTGGGCTCCCACTGAGGACTACAGGGTCTGGCAGGCACTTTGGCCAGCAACACAACTCCCAAGAATTCACAAAAGAAAGATAAGATACCAGGATAAGGGTAATCAAATTCATCCCACTACCCCCTAAAACGATAACCATGCCCCCTGCTACCCACAGCCTGCCAGGTAAGGGTTGGGGCTATATTGTGTCATCTCATTTGAGCCTTTTACGGACCTGCTTGGTTCTCATTTTACAGACAGGAAATGAAAGCCCAGAGATGTTAGGCAACCTGCTCAAGGTGACTCAATTACTAATCAGACTCCCAAAGTCTACGTTCTTCCAACCACATGCCATTGCCTTTAACAAATTTAAGGCTTGGGACCCAGGCGTCTACTGAGTGCTTTTCTTTACTTGGCTAAATAAACATGCAAATTAAAAAGTACTACCAAAAAGGAATTATTATTTTTTCAGGTGCTTCTACAAAATGCCAGGAAGACTGACTCTGGAAGAACAGATTACATTTGGAAAGGCGTGACAGTTTACTAAGCTTCTCCAGTTTGCTTCAGTTCACAGGGCAGCAAACTCTGTCAAGGAGAGTCCTGGGGGATGGAGTCTGATCAGTGGGGCAGGAGGACGGATTCAGTCAGACAACCTGGGGTCAGGTGAGTCACATGAATTCCCCGAGCCCAGGCTCAAGCTCTGGAAATGGGGACCCACCACCCCTGAGACCACGGGGCCACTACAAACATGCAACAACATAGTGCAGGTGACACCAAGCCCTGGGGCTGACCCTGGATCAAATGCTCAGTTCGAGCCCTCTCCCCCACTTCCCCTGCTGCATTTGCAAGCCGCTGAGTTTAGGCAACAGTCACGCAGTTTAGCAGCCCACCAAGACCGTGGATGTGACTATGAAAGTCAGTCATTCTTAAAAGAATGCTGAAGCAGTTTAAAGTGGGCACAGCCCACTGGGAAAGCAATCTGGCAATATGTAGAGTCACACACACAAAAATGTTCATACCCTTTGAACCAGAAATTCCACTTCTGGGAACTTATCCTAAAGAAATAAGCCAAAAGAAAGAAAACACTGTGAAGCTGCTCATTACAGTTTAGTTGAAAATAATGTAACACTGCAAGCAACCAAAATGTCTACCAGCAGGAAAATACCTAAGTAAATTATGGCAGAAGTCACCAGATACACTTTTATGCACCAGTAAGAAATTAGACTTATTAAAATTGTATTACCACATGACAAACTTCTTGCTTTATAATGGGAAGAGAAAGAGGTGTGAGAATAAAAGCAAGGTCACTGTCCATGAAAATATGTTTGCAAAGATAGGGAAAAGACACAAAAATGTCTAAGTGTTGATTGTTTAGGGTGATGAAATCATGGGAAATTCTTTCCCTCTACTTTTGAAACTTTATGAGATGCCATTGTATTTTTAATGAGTAATACACATCTAAAGAATAAAGCAAAATATCCTATTTCCTCAAGGTCATTAGCAATAAACAAAAATTGTGGTTTTATTTTTTTAATCCTCACCCGAGAATATTTTTACATTAATCTTCAGATAGAGCTGGAGGGGGGAGGGGGGGAAGAGAGAGAGAGAGAGAGAGAGAGAGAGAGAGAACATTGATGTGAGACAGACACATCGATTGGTTGCCACCTGCACAACCCCAACCAGGGCCGGGGACAAACTGCAACCGAGGTACATGCCCTTGGCTGAAATTGAACCTAGGACTCTTTGGTCCGCGGGCGATGCTCTTACCGCTGAGCCATACTGGCCAGGGCTGTTTGTGGTTTTATAAGAGAACAGGGAAACTGAATGTAGGGACAAATAAAACTTTATGCCAATAATTTATTTCATAATGGTTCTCAAGACTACTACATAAAGATCAAGACTACTACATAAAGATAGTGACTTACATTCAGATTTTGATATTCACCAAAAAATCCGCTCCCTAGCTCTCTTTTCCCTAGCATTAAACTTCAGTAGATTTAGATTATTAAAGACTCTATTTCTTCCCTACCTAAGATGCTAGAATGCTTCACCACTGTTCAGCCAACATTTCCTGAGTGCTTACTGCCTGCTAGGCACTCACTGGGTTCATCTCCTCACAATCAGTCTCTCATCTACTTCGGGCAAGAGCTGACAGGCAGGACACAGAAGGAAGTTGAGGCTCAGGGAGGTTAAGTAACTTGCTCAAAGTCACACAGCCAGAGTTGGGAAGGAACCTCAGTCGGTCCGACTCACGAAGCCTGTGTTCTTTCCTAACTGCTTCTCTCAAATGCCCCTGCAGAGGGTAGGTCCAGCCCAAGTCCAAGGTTCTGCTTGCATGCTCTTATCAGATCCCAGTAGTTCTAGTGACCCTCATTTCAACACAAATTTCCCTTCAAAGCTGCCATGATTTAGTGGCACTTTTGCTACTTTGGGCTTTTTAATTTTATTTGTTCACTGTCTATTCTTGTATCTTGCACAGTGCCTGGCACCTAGAGAATGCTAAAAAAAAAAGATGTCAAATGAAAGAATAAATAGTTTAATTTGCAGAACGCAAGAGGGAAAACATGACTTTGATGCCAGATCCTCCCCATGGCCTGTAAGGCCCTGCCACCCTCCTCTCTTGTGCCCTCCCCTCCTCCTTGCCCCTTCACTCACTCTGCTCCAGTTATCCTGCTCCTCGAACACGCTGTACTCTGTCCCATCGGGATCTGAACTCACTGTTCCCTCTGTATGGAAAGTGCCTCCTGTAAGTCTTTGCATGGCTGGCTCCTTCTCACTCTTCAGTTTCAGCTCAGATCTCAACCTTGGCAGAGCAGCTTCCCTGGTCACTCTATAGCTACAGTCGTGCCAGCCCTCTTTCCTCGGGGCCTGTACTGCGATGCGGTAACAAACTTGTCCTTCGCTTACTTGTTCATAAAATTTACCTCCCTCGATTTCATGTGCGGTCCAGAAGGCAGGGAAATTTTCCCTGTTCACTTGTGCACCCCCAGGCACAGCGTCTGGCATAGGAATCCAGCAGTTCTTTGATGAATGTTTGAAGGAATATTTACAAGTTAGCAATGATTTACTAGTGAGGTTGTTAGAACTTCTCTGACAAGTCCCTAAGGAAAATAAAGGGTGGGATTTCTGAAAGGCTCAGCCTCCTAGAGTTAGAAAAGTCTAGTTGGTAGGAAAAAAAAAGAAAGAAAGCCTTTGAATCCAAAAGGATGAAATGGAATGTTCTTTGGATACAAGCAAAGAACTTGAAACAAACCACATAAGCCCTCAATTGCTTGCTAAACCATACACTTCCTTAAGCTCCAATTCAAAGCACACTGCTGTGCTCTGATGTCTGAAATGGGGAGAGGAATTAAGCTTCTGGAGGGTTCCAAATAGCTACCTTGTGACAGGAACAGGACTGAGGTGAGTGGTGGAAATTCCCCTTCAGAAATTGATACTTCACTGTATTGTACACCTGAAACTAACATAATATTGTATGCCAATAATATTTAAACTGAAAAAAGAAATTGATTCTTGAATTCACAAAGGGAAGCTTCTCTTACATGGATGGTTTTGCTTGGAAGTAGCCAGCCCTATTTTAATATCACTCTGCCACACTCCCTGACTCTAAACCCATGGACCCTGGGACAGGAGAGTTGCTTTTATAAACTTGTCAGACAGACAAAGGCTGACCAAGAGACTCCAGGGAAGCCCAGATGTTCCAAGGGGCTCTGTTTGTGTTTCAGTTAGCAGTTTGGACTGTGCAACCCATCTGGGGCAAGGGAGGTGGGCAGCACAGTCCTGGGAACTTGCAACTAAGTGAGACGTAAGGGGCATCGAGAAGATGCAAATCCCTGCCATCAGGGACTACTACTGGCCTCCAGTGCTTCTGAGTCCTCACGACACTCTGGCAAGGCAGACGCATGTTGCTTTCCAGATAAAGAGAGTGGCTTAGAAAAAAGCAGGAATCTCCAAGTCCAAGCAACCCTTCCTCTGCCATATACCTCACCCCTGCCTTTCTCGCATTTTCTCCTGTGGATCAGGACTGTCTGCCCTAAGCCAGCAGGGCATGATGGCAGGAGTCCACTAGCAAGATCCACGCCCTCACTGTACTCCAAGGCCCCTGAGATCTGGCTCCTCCAGCCCCCTAGACTCATTACTTCCCTTGCAGCCTCCCTCACTCTGGCTCCAGCCACAGTCCCCTCCTTGGAGGTGCTGGCATGTACCACATCCCTCTGGTGCCTGCTTCCTGCCCTACTCCAAAGACAGGATTAGGGACCTGGCCCCATGTTCCTTTTCTAGCGGCCCCAGCCACATGGATTGATGCTGCCTCTTCCACCTCGCCCTCCAGACTGATTCCTCGAAGACAGACTGGGGCTATGCTTTTTACATCCCTGATGCCCAGCGTTGAGTAGGGCCAATAAACATGAAGTAGCAATGGGAAGCAGTGGGTCAGAGTGGCTCTGGAGGCCACCCCTACTGAGCTGAATCCTGGCGCTGCTACTTACTAGCTGGGTGACCTTGAGCAAATCTCTTTGTGCCTCAGTTTCTTCCTCTGTTAAGATGGAAATAATAATAATGACAACCTCCTAGGACAGCTGTAGAATATGAGAGGAAATTTATAAAGAACTGCTATGAACAATCCACTTTATAACAAAAGAATGGGAACTCATATAAATGTTAACAAAGCCTGACGGATCACGACCCAGAAAGGAGACAGGATGCAACTCAGAGCAGCAGCTCTGTGTTCACAGCCTTCTGGACCTTCTGGCTCAAGGATGGGGAGGACCTTGAGGATGGAGTCCTCTCTGGCCTGGGGCACTATAGCCCATTCAGATGGGTTTCACTGTAACCTTGCTGGGGAGCACCTCTTAGACCAACCCAAGGTTAAGGGTGAGCGGGCTCGTATCATGGAGTCGTTGACACGACCCACACTTGTCAGAACTAGTCCTCTTGTAGAAGCCAATGCCAAGAATGCCCAGTGCAAATACTGGCACCCACAAACACAATTGTGTGCCCGCTGCAGGGCCTGCCACGCTTGGCTGGGAGCACACGGAAGGAAGGTGTCGTTGGCTCGGACAGGGCGTGTCTTGTGGTGAGGCCTGTGGGTTTAGTCAGACAGCAAGGAACATGGATTGATTTAAGACACAGGGGTCCCACTTCCTCTGCCCCCACCCCCAGGCCTCTGTGGCAAAATTGCCAGCTGGGTGGAGGAAGGCCACAGAACCCTCTGGTCTGAGGCAGATCCAGCAGGGCACTCCTGCTTCTCATAACCCAAAGCTGAACACCTCAGCTACTCTGGTTATACTCGGATTAACTCAGTGGAAGATGCAGGCTGATAATGAGAGCTAAGTGCAATGAATTCCACTAATTTATCCACTAACATTCACATCTCCAGGGAATGATTTTCTAGGAAAAGGTTATGGTGCTTTCTAAGAAAGAAAGTGTAATCTTACGAGGGAGATAAAATACCATGAACAGCCCTGCGAGACTGTTTCAGAAAAAATGCTGATAACGAAAGCACACACTCCAGCTGGGTTCTGAGAACTAATCTGTCCTCTCCCGCAGGTTGGTAAGAACTCCATTTCATTTGCGTGTGCCTCACCCCAAGATCAATCAGATACCTTAACATCACACCATCTCTAGGGGTCCTGAGTTATCTGGGTTAAGATTCCACGTCAGCCTCACCTGCGCTGCGTTGACTCTGCTCATTTCCCCCTGTACTTCACAGACCCAGCCCCTGGCTTCCTCTCCCAAAGCTCAGTGAAGGCAACCTGCCCGAACCCACATCTGGTGCGAGATGCAATGGGATTTTAATCCCTGCTTCAGCAGAGGGCAGCATGCTTTGGGGAGTCACTCCTTTTGGCAGGGAATGGGAGGTGTTGTCTGTCTCCCTACTACCTGCACTTGTGGGGGAAGGCAGATTCTTGCCCAGGTCAGTGACCCTTTCGTCCCTGCTCTGTGAGCGGTCCTAATAGACAGCTGCCCAGGAGAGGCGGGTCCAGTGCTCACTTACCCGCCGGGTCTTCTCCACATCACCACATGGCAGCCGCTTCACAAAGTCAATGCCTGTCAGCGGTGTGCCTGTGGGGGGCAGTAGGATGGAGACGTCCATCATGAGATATTCCACGTTCATAGGCTTCATCTAAAAGAGAGACATCACAGGAGACCTCAAGGAAGGAAAAGGGAACAGGCAGGTCACACAGGTAAATACACACATGAACCCTGGATGAAGATTGAGGTGAAGCCTCGAGGCAGCCAGATGTGTGAGATGTGCCTTTTCCGTTTTCTAAAGTGTGGATTTTCCCTTCATTTGAAGTGACAGCTCAGACACTCTTGTGAAGTGGCCTCCCTGCTATGAAAAGCTTTGTTTTCTCATTCTCACTCTCCTCCACCCAGCAGGGAGAGGGATCCTCAGGAAGGAGGCTGGTCCTCACAGCGGTCCCTTTAGGGTGTTCTGCCCCACGTGCATGTGCCTGACAGCTGCCCGCCTCCTTCTCTTTGTACTTCCAGTTATGAGGACAGAAGTCACAGTGACAGCAGCTTCCATTTAAGGAGAGCTGACTACAGGACAGGTGATGAGCTACAGGCTCTGCATGGATGATCATGTTTAATCCTCCCAACAACTTCAGAGGGGATGTTTCCCAACCTGCTAATGAGAAAAAAAGATTCAGAGAAGCCGAGGAATGGATCTGGGCCTCCTCAGCTGGCTGGTGGCAGAACCAAGACACAGACCCAGGCTTACCTGGCTCTAGACCTCCTATGATTTCGACCACGTGACCTACACTGCCCCTTCCTTCCTTGCCCCCTGAGCATCTTACCTGGGATAATATAACAAAGCCACTTACTGAGCATCTACTAAGTGCCAGGTACCACAGGGCTCACCTTCTACTGGATGAGGGATGCTGGTGCTGTCCCATATTACAGAGGGGAATGCTGGGCTCAGAGGAAGGGCAGATGTTCACGCCACTGGGCCAGACGGGGACAGACCTGTCTCCTCCTTTCACACCACCTCCATAGGCCTTCTCTGATTACTAAGACACCTGTAACATCACCTCCCCTCTGGAACTCTGCTGCATGTGTACTGACCGTTTATTCTACATGTTGGGCATTGATGCTTCATTTATACCTGGCATCATAAAGAAATGACATATCACAAAAGCAAATTTTCTACAGAATTCATTTTACTCCTTAAAGCATCACAAGCTTATTTGTGTGTATGTGTGTTTTAGAATGCGGGCCTCAATCGTACCACATTTCTGTCTCTCCTGTAACATAAAGCTAACTAAACTGGGCAAGACTGTGTTGAGGGCCTAGCTGTCCAGAAACCTGAATGGGCCAGGGAGCCAAGGAGTCACTTAGTACATGCTGCCTGCCTTTTTATTTTGGACACTTTAAACACTCAGGCTTATTGTAAACTTCCCAAATCACTTCACTCTTTGGTGAGCCACGTCCAAGAAAAAATCATTTATCATCTATTTACTGAGTGCCAACTAAGGGGCAGGTGCTCAGGACGCAAAGTCAAAGGGACAATGAGAAAGCTGCAATCTTCTGAACCTATCTTTTCCCACAATTCTGCCTGCTGGTTGGAGAAAGGGAAGGCTTTGGGCTGGCACTGCAAACTCAAGGATCATTCCAGAATATTCTAGTGAAATGGCAAAGAAGGTGGTGGCATAATATACAGAGAAGGGCAGAGGACTGAGAGGTGAGCTGCTCTGCCCCTCACTGGCTGGGCACATGTGGACACCTCACTCAACCTGACTCTCATTCCCTTACAATAAGAAGAGTCAGGAGGCTAATGAAGCGGCTACTCCACTGGGTTGACATGGGGATGAGAGATTTAACATGTATAACAGACGTTCCACATCTGACATGGAATAAATCCTCAATCAAATACTATTCATATCAAAGTGAATCTTCCTGACCTATCTTATGACACAGCCCAACTCGGGTGGAGGGAATGTTATCTGAAATGTTCACAGTGGCGAGGATCACCATTTCCAGTTCACCTCCCTCCCAATCTCTGCCACTTGGGTGGGAAGCCGCAGGTTAGGGCTCTCTCTTTCTCGAATGGGCAGGGCAAGCTTTTCAGGCACACAGGTGCTTCTGGCCCCTCACTTACTGTCATGCTCCTGTACTCATCTTCAAACATGTCCAAAAAAATTTCTTCTCCCTAAAAGGGAAGGAAGGGAGGGGAAGAGAAGATTATTATGCATATCCATTCCCCATAAACAACAAAGTATTGTGAGTGCCAGTTCATGGCTTCTGGGGCCATCTGCTTCTCATTAGAGAGTTCTCATAAATCACCAGGAAGGAAAATACACACGTGAACACGAACACATGCTCCAACGAAAGCCCAGATATCAAATTGCACCTCTCAATGTTTTTCTCCCTTGTTTAAGCATATGTAGTTAGACTTATTCTGTCAATGCAGTTAGTTAAAAAACACAAATGAAAAATAATGCCATAGATCATCAAAATATTAAAAGGGCTAATGTTTCAAGTGTTTAACATCCTCTATTTGTCAGGAATGGTTGAGGAATGGGAATCCTGGTTAACTTGCCATTTTAAAACTAAGAGGCTCCACACCTCTGAAAGGAAGAGTATAATTAAATATGCTGAACACTGAAAGTACAGGCTTGTTCTGATCGTTTCTGAGCCTTGCCTTTGAGGTTTTGTAGTTCTTGTGTCCCTGAAGTCTGTCTAGGAGGTCCCTCTCAGAATAGGGTGGTGAGTATAAACTTGGCTCCAAGACACACAAACCAGGGGCCAAATCCCAGCTGTACCTCACGGAGACTCTCTTTGTTTCGCTGCAAGACTGGGATGACAGCCCATGTCTGTGTGGGTCTTTGTGAAGAAGAAATGAGTTAATGCACATAACATGCTGAGCACAGAGCCTGCCACTTGGTCAGAGCTGGTAAGTGTTAGCGCTCATGGTCATTATGATCACTACTGGACAGGACCACAGCTAAGAAGGGGAGGGGAGATTGTGCAGAATGCATCATAACTGTTAGAACTGTCCTTTCTCTCACAAGTCCTGAATCTCTTCCTCCTCACCCCGCCCCCCACGCACACGGTCAGGGTGGGAAAAGGAATAGGTCCTTTATAATTTTCCAGTGATCAGATCTACAGATAAACCTGAAGATTCTTGTGTGGTGTAAGTACCAGGCAATAACCATAGAAAAAGTAGCCCTGAAACCCCAAAAGCTTCTGAGATATTACAAATTAGGTGTAAACCTTATAGGATAAAAGAGAAAGAAAACTTGGTTGGGGGAAGGAAGCTACAATTCAAATAGAGCAAGTCCTCACTGAACATTGTTGACAGGTTCTAGGAAACTGATTTTCAGTGAGATGACATAAAATGAAATCAATTTTACTATAGGCCAATTGATATAAACAAGAGTTAAGTTCCTATAGCATACTTCTGGTCACAGAAACATCACCGCACTTCTAAATACAGACCCCAAACACTTCTAATATTAAACATTTAAGAAACATTAATAAAAACCAGACAGATCATTCTTTCCTAACCTGCATATTCTTGTTCAGGGTTGCTCACAGGTAACTGGAGCTTGTCCTGGCAGCTCAGGGTCCAATGTGGGACCCCACTCTGGACAGAATGTCCTCTTGTCACCGGGCCACTCACACACACCCACATTCACTCAGACTGGGACAATGTAGACACACCAATTCATCTCACGTGCACATCTTTGGGGTGTGTGAGGAAACCGGAGTCCCCAAAGAAAAACTATGCAGACATGAGGAGAACAGGCAAACTCCATTCCAGGTGTCCCTGGCTGGAAATCCATTTTTTCCCCATCAACATTATAACAAAGTGACATTGAACAAAACGGTACTTGAAGACCTACTGTATGGCTCTCCTTTTGTTAAGGATAAAGAAAAACCCTTTGGGATAATGCCTACTAATGTGTCTTTCTGTTTTTGCAATCCAAAAACTCTCTAGGGGGAAATACACTGAGAACAGTTATACTGGAGATCAAAGATGACTAATGCAACAGTGAGGTTGCTACCTTCCTCAGGGCTTTGCAAGAGGACACGTATCCTCACTTAGAGGCCATGTGTGGTTTGGAATGGTCTAAGGGGAGACTGAGATTTCCGCCCCAGTGAGAGAGGACGCACAGTGGTGCCACCCTCGTCTGGCATGTCCACTGTGTTGCAGCTGCAGGGGATCATCTGACCCTGGCAAGGTGGATTTCCAGATTACATGACCTGGTTTTTTATCTCAGTGAACACTGACAATGGACAGTAGCTTAAAGAGTGTCCTGCAGAGAAAAAGACTCCTTGCATATATGTATGTAATTCACAGCAGTTTAGAGAGAATACAAAAAATGAAGTACAGGGGAACATGAAAATGACAGTGTTGACACCGGCTCTTATGAGGATCTCTCCATTAGTTAAATTACTGGCAGAAACCATCACTAACTGGATCTGGAGAGATCTAATGGGGAGGCCAAAACATCAGTAACCTACTATGCGGTTTGACGTATGGATTAACCCACTGACAAATGATGAGCTTTGCCAAAGAATGTTCTATGCCTTAAGATAAGAGTTCATCAAAACCATCACAATGAGGTATGTTAAAACTAATCATCTAGAACCTGAAGAACAAATCTACAAATTTTTCAGATACTGCAAAGGTCATGGTGGTCCATGACAAAATCTCACTTAATAATAAATGTTTGAAAGCCTGTCTGAGGTTTCTTAGCGTACATGTATGTAACCAGTATACATGTATATAATTCATAACTTAATATGCAATTCAGAAGTAATTTTAAATGTATAAGCACACAATGCATGAATATATAAATTCCTGTCATGTGTGCAAATATATATACACACACACACATATATATATGATTCATAATTTATATATGAATTCATCCATAAATAAATTCCTATCGAACTGATGAACAAACTGTCACATACTAGGGCCAAGTCTTCAAACGTTGCACTGATAAGAGAACATGGGCAGAAAACGTGAAAGACCACTGCCCTGGAGATTATGAAATTGAACATTTTTACTCAGGAGTCACAGGTAGAGAAATAACTGAAGACAGGTAACCTCTGCGTGTACAGGGGCAGACTGTTTATACACCGCATATCACACTGCCGTCCCCTGTGCTCTGCCCATTTACCTTATAAAAGTGCCGTACTAGGTGAACGCTTTCTTCCCTGGCGCCCTGTTAAAAGAGAGGGAAGATGTGAGGGAGGCAGGTCTCATGGAGGCAAATGAATTGTGTAAATTACTGACTCTAAAATCTGACTGTATATAGGACAGAAACTAGGCTAATATCCTTAATCTATAAGTGGTTTTCAATGAGAAAGTAAGAAAGAGAAGGAGAGCGAGCTCAAAAAAATACGAAATGAACAGAGAATAGAGATTCAACGAGACATGGAAAGCTGTTAATATACAACTGAGTGGGGAAATGGGTTATAAAAAATGCTCATGATGACTCTGTTTTTATTTTTAAAAATCTGTGTGAATGTATGTATCTATAAAGACACACACCAAAGTGTCAGCTATAATTGTTACATTTGACTACTATATTTTCTAAAATAAACATGGAAATTAAGGGGGAAAATAATATGTTAAACAATAAATAAATGTGTGTACTTGTCTTATATGTATAAAACTTTTGTAATAAAAAAAGAAGAATTTCTAAATCCTGGAGAGAAATAAGAGCCCAATAATCGTAACAGAAATGACTGAAATTCACGTCAAGCCAATCCCAGGAAGCAAGTTCTGTGGGAACAAGCAGGGTGCAGTGGGGCATCGGAGCTATTGGGCCCAGCTTCTTCTTGCTGGTGCTGTGGACCCCACAGACCAGGGCTCCCTCTCACTCTCCCGGGTGGCAATGGCTCACAGGCAATGGGAGTGGGCAGGGCTCTCACCTCCAGACAGGCCAGGTGCACGTCCTTTATGATGCAACCGGTGCTGGTTACAACTTGCTGCTTTAGGAGCAGGCAGCTCAGCTCCAGTGTCGTCAGCCGGATCTTCCCATCTGCAGAGCACACTGGGGTCAACCTCGTACACTCAGGGCTACATGCCCTTAATCACAGCTTCTTGCCTTCCAGTTTTGAGGTTAACAGGTCAGCTGATCAGCTGACTGCTCAAGGCCTCTGACATCCAGTAGGAACAACCCTTGCCAACCCTATCACCAATCAATTATAATTAGATGTCCCAGTAAAACTGCCTCGACCTAATACTCCCCCCTTTAGTCTCTTCATCAGGAGAGAGAATGCAGGAAAAAGAAGGCACCTAATTATTACTGAAGGTTTAGAAAGCGGCCGTCTGTACTTGCTTTGCTTGTTCAACATTCCTGTCTCTCCTGAAACAAGCATCATCAATTTCTTTTGGAGAACCACCCAGTTCCACTACTGGACATGTGATCTGGGTGGAACTGGTGTCCCTTCCCCCATCCTAGGGGTAGGCACAGCGTCCTGGCTGGTCAGGGTGTTCTATTCCCCTGGTCATAGTGATTGCACTGGAGTGGGCAAGGGAGTCAATCAGAGCTAGGAAGGCTCAATTCCACAACTTGCTGGAACCACTGGGCTGCAGAGAGGATAGGAACAGTGGTAGGGCCCTGAGTGGCACAAGCATTATAATCCAAGTGGCTACCTCCCCATTCTCACCAGTGTTTTCAATCTTTTGTAAAATGTTCTGCAAATTAAGCTCCAAGCCTCCCTTCTTACCAGATTACCCAAAATGTCTTTCTCCTCAAGCAAGTCTGAGGCCCCAGTAGAGAAAGGGATGGCCAACACAGAAGTTGCAGAGTCCAAACAGTCTTGAAAACACTGTCTGAGCCCCTGGATCCAGCTGTGCCTAAAGCCAATGCCCAACACACTTGAAGTTACATAAGCTAACAGTTTTGTTTATTTCTGTTTGTACTGTTTCAGCCAGTTTGAGTTGGATTTTCTACCAACTGTAACCAAGTTCTGAGTGAATCGGCTGGCTATCCTACTGTCAGCCAGGCCCAGGCTGAGCACTTTGCTCCCTCAAGAAGTCTCTATAAAAACCCATTACAATGGGTGCTCTAAACACCGAGGCTTAGAAGAGTGAAGTGACTTGTCCAAAGTCTCATCCTGGGCAGTGGTGGACTCTAAGTGCTCTGAATGTAAAAACCCACAGCTGGCATTGTTCTTAGACACACCTGTGACTAGCTGACTAAAGGGCAAACAGCTCTTATGCAAACTCCTCGCTGGGTTTTTAAGCTCCTTTATGGGGAGAGTCTCAATATGGAAGAGGGGCCAGGAGAGGGAAAAGTTTCCAGGACACATCCCTGAGGTCTTAGAAAGAGCAGGGACCGGGAGGCCACTGGGAAAAACTCAATGCAGATATACCACCGTATACCTCCCTGCCCATCCTTTGATGCCTCATGTATCAGGTGGGAAACAGATGAGAAGAGGAAAATGTTTGCTCAAAAATGAACAGGCTAAATGCAAGCAGAAACAGATCTTCCTAAGCATGACACACGCCCAGGGGCCATGTGGAAAGAGGCTGGTTAGTCCCAGCTCTGTCATTCTCCCTGCCGCAGCCCCTACCAGCCCAGAACTAACCTCACTTCTGTGCTGCTGCCCTGTCCCAGCGGCACCCACCACCCACCCGCCCTCCTCTGAGTTCAGTAATTTCTCTGGAGCCCAGTCTCACTCCTGCCTGCGCCTCCACTGAGCCACACTGTTGGCCAGGTCAGAAACACCCCTTCTGCTGCCTCCAGGGAATGGAATGTGATTTCCCACCAAGACCCTTCTCTCTTTGCAAGCTCCTGCCAAGAAGCTAACTTTCCCCCACTGGGCTAGTCTCATGACAGAAACAGAGGCAGCTACAAGCTCCTTAGTCATCAATGCAGCTTCCAGCCTATCCCTTTCAGCTGCCCCAATCTCTTCAGAAATCCAGACTGTTCTATACACCAGTCCTGAAGGGGCTCACTGTCCCTCCCCACCTTGGAGGTTCCTCTCCCAACATCCAGGCTACAGTCTACCTTCCTCCACCACGGGGCCCTGTCTGTTCATACAGCTCCTGCCAACTGCCCTCTTGGACACTGTCCTCAGAGACATGCTCTGCCTTCCTGATTGGACTTCTCGGCACCTCCAGATATCTGTTGTAGCCCAGGGCTCAGTCCTACACATGCCTCTCTTCTCTACTGGCTTTAAAAACCATCCACATGTCTATAAGCCTCACAGTATTAGTTCTGGCCCTGACCCACCTCTGAGCTCCAGATTCCATCTCCACAAGGAGTCCCAGACTACTAGGACTTCACAGACCCCGAGCTGTGGCTCCTGTCCTGCACTTCCCGTGTCCCCATCACTCCCACACAGTGGCTGGCATGCAGGAGGAGCTCAATAAACATTTTTTGTGTTTCCTGATCCCCTGCTGACACCCCTGAGGCCACAGATTTGGCTCTCCAAGACCCTGCACTCACGCCCTGGCAATCCCCTGTGCTTCTGGCCACTACTTGGAGCCACTCCCCTTTATCTCTGAAGTCCTTGTCTGTGATCACACCCGCGCCCCCACGGTTTTCCTGAGCCTGACCTGGGCCCGCTGCTTGGACTGCTCTGATGGCTTAGCTTAAGGAATTCTCTCACTTGGGTCACAACTCAGTCGGGCCCCTTCCTGTGCACACTCCAACTTGACAGCCTCTCTCCCTGCCTTTGCAGAGAACCTGCCTTGTAATCAGGTTTTCCTGACCTGAGCACTGTTGACATCTTGGGTCAAATAATCCTTCCCTGCGGGGCTGTCCTGGGAAGTGGAATGTTTTGAAGCATTCCTGGCCTCTACAACTACATGCTAGTTGCACCACCTTCCCAAGTTGAGACAACCAAAATTATCTCCGCACACTGCCAAATGTCTCTTGGGAGACAAGGCTGTCCCCAGCTGAGAGGCACTGTGCTATATCATTCTACCTGCTATTTCTAGCCCTTACTGTGGCAGTAGATTGGTGTTGGCTAAAATCCAAATCTAGGCTGATAAGGCCAAATTCTGGGCATATCTTATATTATCAAAAGCATCCAACCCAAATCTTCCTTCCCACTCACTTACACTCAGCCTAGTTCAAGCTCAAACCCTTTAGATACCCCAAGATGAGGGCTGCAGACATTAGCAAAACTGGCAAAAGGAGGGTTGGGTATGACAGGAGAAGAAAGACAGGGTCTGGCACAAACACCATGGTGGGAAAGAAAAAGAGGAGACCCAGAGATGAAGACTGGGCAGGACAGGAGGGTATGGGTGGCCCAAGGTATGGGTGTGAGTGGCTGAGATCTGCCTAGATCACCAGAAGGGCCAAGTCTAGAGCCCAGGGCTCCTGGTGCCAGGTGTGGAAGCCTGGTCTCTCTAACTCCACCACCCCTGTGAACAGCCAACACGCCCCAGGTACCTGGCTGGGCAGCGCTGTTCATGATCCTGATGAGTCTTTCAGCCAGTGGATGGTTGTAGATGGTCTTCTCAGCTGCACTGGGCACTGGGAGCTGGATTCGCTCTAGTTTTTCAGGATCCATGCCTGGATCGGAGAAAGGGACAAGACGTAAGTAAGCGAAGCCATCTTACTGAGAGCCTTCTGCATCCTGAAAGGCCCCACAGAGCAGAGCTTCCCCAACCTTGGCCATCCATAGGACATCCTCGTGATTTCTGCTACGACTGGGCGCCATCTGTACTATAACTTACCTTAGAGTTGTCTGTAAGTGGAACTTAGGTAAATATATTAAAACATAGATTTTCTATCATTATATGCAGACAGAAAATCAGCACTGCTGCAATATTGACAGTAACTATAACCAAAAGGAAAAAAAAGTAAAAGAAAATGTTTTTATGTTTAGCCAAAAACTGCTGACTGGCTACTTGTGGCCTGAGGCCTACTCTGTGTTAAACAGGGCGCTTGGCAGGTACTTAAAAGTTGTTGAAAACACACTAGCCCCACATGGTGACATGCTTCTGGACAACATCAGAGGGTATGGAAACGGAATGGAAAAAGGAATAACTTTTGCACATTTCGTGCCGGGTCCGTGTGCCACTCCTGTATGAGACACAAGCCACAATGAGGGGGACACAGACCTAGAGAAAAAGAGACCAGACAGAAAGGAAATAACAGTCATACCCAACAATCACACCTCAAGCTCTCAACACCACACTCAAAGAGCTGGGCCTACCCCTCCACACACACAGGCAGCAGCAGACACTGAGCTGGGCCAGGGGGAGACAACGCAGAAAGAGACTAGGCTAAACATTATGACAGAAAGGTACAAACACCATGAAATTCACGGAGCGGCTCTATCTCTCAGAGGCAAAAGAATCATGTTTCCTCCAGTGCAAACTAACAGCTTAAAAAGACAGAAGACAAGACTAGAGAAGTGGGGTATGGGGGTAGGCAGTCTAACTGTGAACAGAGTGACATTTTTCCTAAAGCAGACCTGAAAGCTGGGGTGACAGGAAGACCTGTTAGGGCTACTTCAACAGGCCAGATGTGGGACGAGAGGCGTTCCAAATCCTCGTCCTCTCATCTTACAAAGCTCTGGAAAAATATGCTTGCAGAAACAAACACTTCTCCTGATCCAAGCCTGGAGAGCTGAACAGATTGTTTGTGCTCGAAGCACGTCTTTTCCTGTTATTCTACAAAAGGGGGGAAGGTGGCACTTCTGGGAACTCTTGAAATACGGCCCCTTGAGTACTAGATGACGCTTCATTTAGAACCTTGACAAAATAGTGGAGGATAGCATTGAAGAGCTGATTGTCTGGATTCTAAGTAACCCCCCCCCCCCCTTGACGTAAGAAACCATAACAATATATCTTGTTTTATTGAATTCCTTCCAGCTCCGAACCAGAGGCTAAGTCACGCCAAGGAGATGACACGGGTGAGGGACGGCTGGAGGACTCGAGTTGGGTAGTTCTCTCTCTCACGCCCCACCACCATGGCTTCCGTGAAAAAATTTGATTGCAATGAAAATTTAATTCGTGGATTCTATATCCCATTTTAATGTGAAATATCTAACTCTGAAGCATTCTGGTTTATTAAATGGTAAAAATGTCAACTAAATCTTTTTGGCATTTGTTTTTTTTTCAGATGTCAACACTGTCTTAACATCTCTCTATCTTTTCATTTCTGGCTCTTTTGGGAACTGTCAGTCAGTGGTTCTGGGAAAAAAATAGCTCTTCAGCCTGCCCAGTGCATCACCCAACTTTATGATCCAACCATTTATCATCCCGCTTCAAAGAAGCCTAGCTGCTGGCTCCCTTGGGGTTGTGGTGGTGGTCGGCAGAACCAGGGAGAGAGACAGACTTGGACCAGGGCTTGAGTTTCTACGGTAAGCTCCATTTTGTCTCTTTTCTATTATTAACCCTAATCTCTTAGAACTTGTCAAAAATGATAAAAAAAAACCTGTGGCAAAATCTTCTCTCGACAGGAAGAGAAACACCCCAGTGTCATTCTGATCTTCCTCAATGGGCAGCCCTGTTCTCTGTGAAGGGGACAAGGGTACCTGGGAGACTGAAAAACTTCTAGAATTTCACACGGCCAGACTCCAGTGTAACTTCTTCCTTCATTGAAGAAATTAAGGACCAGAGATGTTACATCACATCCCCAAGGTCACAGAGGAAGTTAGAGGCACAGTTAGAACCAGGATGAGATTATAAAGGTGGACAGGTACAGATGGGAGGGGTGGTACTACCTGCATGGTGAGCCATCCACAGCAAGCAGTATGCAAGGGGCCTTCCCTCTGTGCTGACAATAGCCACCACCTCCAAGGCCTCATGGTACCCCAGGGCTCAGTCTCCCTTCCACACTCTTGTCAGGTGGAGGTGGAGAGAGCTGGCTGCAGAAGGAATTTTGTTCTCATACTTAACCTTGTCAACCCTCAGTCTCCTTACCTGTGCAGTGGGACAATTACAGTAACACTGTCCCAGGGCTGTTGTTAGCATCCTATGAGAAGTACGCAGTCATGGTCCAATAACTACAGCCTGTCGTTAACATGCACTGATGGGAACTTTTACTTTGAGCATGCCTTAATGTATTTCTGTATCGTTTGTTTCACAAGAGGAAAGAAAGAATGAAAGAACAAAAGGACAAAAAGAAAAATAAGCTAACAAAAGCTAAAATCAAGCTGTTTTAGAAGGTCCAAAGAAGGCATGCTCTGTTATTTGACGGTTGGCTCAGATGAGCTGCTCAGGTTGGATTTTAAAGAATGAGAGAGAATTTGCCTTGAGCTGGACATGGATGGCCAGAACTTGCCAGGCCTACAGGGAATGCGGGACTGTGACAGAGCTTGGGGAAGGGGGGATGAAGCTTTGGGAGGAAGTGATGAGGTAGACATGGAGAGGGACAGGCAAGGATTGGATGCTAGGATTCTGCAGGGCAGCTAGGGGCAGGGACATGATCTGGTTGTGCTCTGGCTAACTTTGAAGGGTCTCCATTCCTCCAGCTACTCAAGGTGATCTCTATGCTTCTAACACTTCCCTCTGAACAGACTTGGTATTGTAACACATTCTGTGTGAGGTGGAGTTTATCACCAGCCACGGGGAAACAGAGAGCAGGATTGATTCCATACATCATATGGCAAGAAAGATGTCCTCTGAACACCCCCGAGTTCCTCCTGGGCCAGGTGGCTCATTTCTTTCCCCTGTCTCTTTCTTTCTCCACCATGGCCTCTAAAACCCCTCTGTTACTCTGAATTATCCCACCCTAGTAACTGTCTTTCAAAGCCTATGCAGCAATTCAAAAGCTCCAGACATTTTTCTGGGTCCAAACAAAATGACGGTTGACAGTTGTGAATGAACAAAGTCAATGACACACATGACAAGGATATGCATATGGAAGGGAAAACAGCATATGTGTGCACGGGAGGACACACATGTGCATATGCACATGCACACACACACACACACACACTGGTGTTCAGTCACTGAAAGGCAGGTTTTGTTTCAAAATTTTTTTTTTAAATCCTCACCTGAGGACATTTTTGCATTTATCTTCAGATAGAGAAGGAGGAAGAAAGAGAGGGAGAGAAACATAGATGTGAGAGAGATACATCAACTGGCTGCCACCCACACAACCCCAACTGGGGTTGGGGACAAACTGCAATGGAGGTACGTGCCCTTAGCGGGAACCGAACCTGGGTCTCTCTGGTCCACAGGCCAACGTTCTAACCGTTGAGCCAAACCAGCCAGGGCTTTGTTGTAATTTTGATTGCATTTCCTTGCTAGCCATTTCCCTTTGACTGAAATAAACAGTGGAGAATATACTGTCCTATTTGCTTCAACCCTTAAGTGCCAGGTGACAGACAAATTCCAAAGAAACCCAGATGCACTTTCCATGGCCCGGGAAAACACTGGCAAGTTCAGACTTCCAGCAGAACACATGCTCCCTTGCTCCCTTCCTGCCTGGGTCAGATTCTGCTCTGCAGAATGAGTCAAACAGGTCTCTCCTTTCTATTGCTTCCACTCGAGAATTGGGGTGGGGCGGGGTGGGGGTGGAACTCCCAACTAACTAATCCAAAGAATCCAAAAAGAAGGGAAGGGCGTAACTCAAGATGTCAGTTACCAGTTACTAAGCTTCTTCCTCTTAAGTTCTGATTTCTGTATTCTTCCTCCTTAGCAGTAGCCCCCAGCAAAGGGTGGAAAAGACTCAGACCAAAGTTACATAAGAAGAAGTAGGCAATCAAACCTGGATAAGGAGACCACAATAATGCTAGGTAAATAAATAATGGTCAAAACAATTTTGACCATAGTCACGCAAGCATTGCCAGCTTTGGAAAACTATAGACCAACTATTTCGAAAGCTAACCAGATGTTGGGCCAATTTCCAATGTACTTCCAGTTCTAATTATGTATCAGTCGAGATCCAAAATGTTGTTTTGCCAGCTCTCTGCATGGCGAAAGCCTCCCTTTATCCTATTACCTTTCAACCTTTCCCATACCTCTCATCTATGTTCCAGTAACTTCTCGGCAAAACAAAATAAGCCCAATTCCTCTTGGGTAAACAATAATAAATAGAGGGGCAAGAGTAGAAGGGTGGAGGATAAAGTGGGGGAACCTTTAAGAATACAAAAGCTGCAAACCTCACCCCCCTCCTCAGGCCAGGGCTCTGCAGACCTGACAAAAGAGAGGAGGCTGCATTTGCTATTACAGATATGAACCAGAATTCATTATGTGGCTCAACTGAATCACAACGAGCGCCTTCCTCCAACCGGTCAACCCTTTCCACTGTGGGATATTCATTTCGGTACAGCATCTAATCTATTATGATTTACTGGAAGGCCTGAGCTAACATTTGGTTTTTATTAACGTTGCTTTTATGTTAAAATTGTCTTATGATGAAAAATCTATCAGAAAGAGACCATTTCATTAAGGGGGCCTGCTTGGATGGTATGGATCTGGAAAAGGGAGGCTGAAAGTTAAGTGCGGCTAAATGTCTGCTGCCTAACCCAAAATCCAACCAAATGACCACCCCACCCCCACCAACAAATCTACCCCCACCAAATGCAGACCCTGTGCTCATAGGCTAAAACTAGA